CAAAATATTGGGGTATAATTTTTGCTTCCAAACCATTAGAACGGCAAATTTCTAATCCTTGCATTTCACAAGGTAAACAGTAAATCAGTTCCTTTAACCTTATGTTTCTAATGTAAACTAAAGTCAAAAGAACAATACTACTGCAGAACTGAAGCCTCTCTCCTCTTAGTCCGAAACTTTAGCTGTCTATGCTATTTAGGCCAGAGAAAACGTACAATGCTTTGTGTTCAGATCCCTACAAGTCATCTATCCAGGAGGCCACAAGTCCACCCCACCTTCCATTTCTGGTTTCAGGTCCTGAAGAGTATAGAGAAAATCCTGCTTTTCCTGGGGTTTTAAATGCTGGCAAAAGCAAGGCTTATGGTAATAAGACCCAGATCAAAGGCCTATCCTCCTGGTTCAGCCTGCCTGCCTCCACTCCTGCCTCCACCATGTCCATCAGGGTGACCCAGAAGTCCTACGAGGTGTCCACCTCTGGCCCCCGGGGCTTTCAGCAGCCACTCCTACACGAGTGGGCCCGTTGCCTGCATCAGCTCCTCGAGCTTCTCCCCAGTGGCACCAGCAACTTCCGGGGTAGCCTGGGCAGAGGCTATGGTGGGACCAGTGGCATGGGAGGCATCACAACTAACACGGTCAACCAGAGCCTGCTGAGCCTCCTTAACCTGGAGGTAGACCCCAACATCCAGGCCGTGCCCACCCAGGAGTAGGAGCAGATCAAGACCCTCAACAGTCAATTTTCCTCCTTCATCGACAAGGTACAGTTCCTGAAGCAGCAGAACAAGATGCTGGAGACCAAGTGGAGCCTCCTGCAGCAGCAAAAGACAGCTCAGAGCAACATGGACAACATGTTCCAGAGCTACATCAACAACCTTAGGCGGCAGCTGGAGACTCTGGGCCAGGAGAAGCTGAAGCTGGAGGCAGAGTTTGGCAACATGCAGGGGCTGGTGGAGGACTTCAAGAACAAGTATGAGGATGAGATCAATAAGTGTACAGAGATGGAGAATGAATTTGTCCTTCTCAAGAAGGATGTGGATGAAGCTAACATGAACAAGATAGAGCTGGAGACTCACCTGGAAGGGCTGACTGACGAGATCGGCTTCCTCAGGCAGCTGTATGAAAAGGAGATCCGCGAGCTGCAGTCCCAGATCTCAGACACCTCTGTGGTACTGTCCATGGCCAATAGCCGCTCCCTGGACATGGACAGCATCATCGCTGAGGCCAAGGCACAGTACAAGGAGATCGCCAACCACAGCCGGGCTGAGGCTGAGAGCATGCACCAGATCAAGTATAAGGAGCTGCAAACACTGGCCAGGAAGCACCGGATGACCTGCAGCGCACAAAGACTGAGATCTCCAAGATGAACCGGAACATCAGCCTACTCCAGGCTGAAATTGACGGCCTCAAAGGCCAGAGGGCTTCCCTGGAGGCTGCCATCACAGATGCGGAGCAGAGTGGGGAGCTGGACATTAAGGATGCCAACGCCGAGCTGTCGGAGCTGGAGGCCGCCCAGCAGCGGGCCAAGCAGAACATGGCTTGACAGTTGCGTGGGTACCAGGAGCTGAGGAACGTCAAACTGGCCCCGGATATCGAGATCGCCACCTACAGGAAGCTGCTGGAAGGCGAGGAGAGTCGGCTGGAGTCTGGGATGCAGAACATGAGTATCCATAGGAAGACTACGAGCCTCTGTGCAGGTGGTCTGAGCTCAGCCTATGGGGGCCTCACAAGCCCTGGCCTCAGCTACTACCTGGCCTCCAGCTTTGGCTCTGCCTCAGGCTCCAGCTCCTTCAGCCACACCAGCTCCACCAGAGCCCTGGTCGTGAAGAAGATCGAGACCCGCGAAGGGAAGCTGGTGTCCGAGTCCTCTGACGTCCTGCCGAAGCGAACAGCGGTGGCAGCCCCTCCCAGCCTGCCCCTCCTGCGGCTGCCCGAGAGCCCGGGAGAGAGGCCGCTGTGCAGGGTAGCACAGGGAACAGGAGCACCCCTGAGGCTCAGCCCTAGCCCTCAGCCCACAGCAGGGAGTTTAATGCCTAAGGACCCCCCTTGTCCATGCCTCCAGCTACAAAACAATTCAATTGCTTTTTTTTTTTCCTGTCCTAAATAAAACCTCAGCTAGCTCTGACCAAAAAAAAAAAAGTAATTACTTAATGCCTTAGGTGGTCAAAAAACAATTAGCGTCTATTAAATGCATTTCAAACTAAAAAGTACTTAAGGTTAAGTAAAAGTAGACCTATTAAGATCAAGGAGTCATTCCTTTGCTCTTTAAAGAGATATGTATCAGTCACAAAATCAGCAGGAAATAAAATTCATTCAGAATAATTTAAAGTGAGAGATGTCAGTGAAAAAACTAATTATAGAATAATGGACATGGCTTAGGAAACAAACAAAGTGTGTTAGTCCATTCTCACACTGCTATAAATAAATACCTGAGACTGGGTAACTTATAAAGAAAAGAGGTTTAACTGGCTACAGTTTTGCAGACTATGCAAGAAGCATAGCAATTTCTGCTTCTGGGGAGGCCTCAGGAAGCTTTCAGTCATGGCAGAAGGCAAAGTGAGAACAAGGCACTTCACATGGTTGAAGCAAGAGGAAGATGTAACCCATTGGGGATTACATTTCAACACGAGGTTTGGTTGGGGACAGAGATCCAAACCGTATCACAAGAGATGCTGAGATGCCTGGAGACTGGTGATAGTGAGAAACCATTACAATTCCAGGGGCCAAAGCGGGAGGACGAAACATTGTCAAAGCAGAATGTCTCCTCCAACTCTACATTCTCATTCTGGTGCCTTTCATTTTGTGAACCCAACCCCAAGTCAGCTCACAAGAGAACCTGATAATGCAGTCCATTTTGGTCTGAAGCATGAAGAAGAGCACAAAATAATGGACAATAGAACTGGAGATTAAGAGGACAGTGAAAATAATGAGCACAAGTTTCCAGTCAAAATATATCAGCTAAAAATAGATATGCTATATTCTCTGTCTTTGGAAAAAAATCCATTCTTGAACAGACATGAGAGCAATTGGAAAGATGAGACATAAGACAAAGAGTTCCTGAACAGCCAGTAAGCTCCAAAACAGATGTTGACGCAGACACAATCTGAAACTCTATTGCTGGCCGTTGCACAGGAGACCTGAAGTAGCAGAGGAGAGAGGGGCATGTCCTAGGAGAAGTAGATATTTGGTAGAAAGGAGAGAAAACATCCCCAAGAAATACTCCAAAATTGTCAACTAGCATCCTTTTGGAAGATTGTATGTAATGGTACTTGGTGAACTGCTAAAGCATTTGGTTGGTTGTATTTGTTAGTTACTGATGTTATTAACAGCAGTCCTCTATCATGACCATATTGAGCTTCTGTTACAAGCACCTTACTCCATTGTGGTGGCTGTTGGCTTTCTCAACTCCAAATCCACCACTCTATAGACTCTGCTTTTGATAAGAAGGCTGCAACTCATCAATCAGAATCATCGTTTGGTTCCCTGCTATGTTCCATTAATTGGAGGAGGCTAGGACACTGGAAGCTGCTGTAGGGACAAATATCTCTATCATGTTTGCTTATTATACCTATCAGTGCTATCACAGCAATAGTTCTTTGCCCAGATGCATTGGTTCCAGTTTCCAGTTTATTTTTGTCCCACACTTCCAGCAATATTCTAATCATGTCCCTCAAAAGAAATAGAACCAACTATCAGTGGGCTGTGTTCAGGGACCTGAGTGCCAACTTCACAAGAGGTCTTTCTCTGGTGTTCCTGAGGTATGAGCTGTAGCGGGGAAGTCCTCTTTCCTGCAAAGTTGGCTCTTGGCCTCATATTCTCCATCCTTTGAGCTCCTAAGGTACCAGAACCAAAAGAGCAGCACCCTCTCATTATAGGTCAGAATATAAGCTCTTGGGGAAACTCTCCATCAAAATTATAGTTTTTAATAAGCCCAGACTCTTCTGTTTGTTCCCAAAGCCATACGAGTAAACTTCCTGTAGTTATTATCCCTGAATTATTCCCGTGTTCCCTTTTTTTCCCTTTCAGTCCTCTAATATCTGTTTATCCAGTTCTTTGTACTAAATGCTTCCTGTGTTAGTCACTGGTGTGACTTCTATTTTTCAGTCTAGACCCTTAATAGCATATCCATTTCAACTTTCCTTGAGGATAAGGTCCAAGCATAGCATTATAAATCCCACCAGATTAAAATATTTCTGTATTTGCTTCTTGTTAATCTTGAAGCCTTAAAGAAAATTAATTTATTTGAAGATGGTATTTCCCAAAAGCAGGAACATGCCTGTTTAGCAATAAGCATGACATTACGACTTCTGAAGAAACTATACAGATTGGAGCTGAATTAAGCATAGTTGTATTTCACAGAATGCTTATACTCGACATCTTCCCTGAAGAGCTGAGAGAAAGTATGAATATTTGACCAAATACAGTTAGGTTACTGGCAATGCAATAAAATATTTATTTATTATACTAGCTGTTAAATGTGGAGGTCAATGAGGCCAGAGGCAAAGGAAAGTAAAAATATTTGGAACAATTAAGTAACCATGGACACGGCAAGTTGTCTATGGTAAATTTCATTTATAAGATTCAGTAATTTGAAATTGTTAATGCACTTTTTATTCCCAATTGAGAGCAGGGTGATGTTATTTATCTCTTTAAAGGAGAAGTTTAAATAATAAGTAGACACTTTCTCTTTTTCCATTTTTTTAAAACAAAATAATACCACATTTGCAAACTAAGGTGGGCCGTTGGTTAACAAAGCCTTTGAAAATGATTCATCTCAAATATAGAAATGTTCTTATTATCATCATGACTATCAAAGGAAAAGAATGGTATCCTTGAGAATCTTCAGCTCATATTAAGCTCTCTGAGTTCACAGTCTTCTTACTTCAAACTAAGTTGTATTTTGGGAAACTTTAAATACAAGCATGAGTCTAAACATATTAACCTCTTTAAATGGCATTTTACTCATCTATAAAGTGACAAAGAATAGAAAAAATTGAAACGTTCATCTAGTTCTTTGCCATGCTAGAATGAAGAACTTTTAGCACAGTCTGGCATATCTGTTTGGTCTTCACACTATAGATGATGGGGTTCATTACAGGAGAGATTAGTAGGTAGGCACTGGCAATCAAAGTATGCACATAGGGTGGGGTCTGCTTCCCAAACCTGTGAACAAAGGACAGACTGATCAATGGAATGTAAAATACAGCAACAGCCCCAATATGGGAGATACATGTGCTGAAGGCTTTCTTCCTTTCTTCCGGGGAAGCAATGCTAAGAACAGTCTTAATGATCAAAATATAAGAAAGGACAATAAAGACAGAATCCACCCCAGCAGTGGTAATCAGGGCAGTCATCCCAGCTGCACTGTTGATTCTGGTGTCTGTGCATGAGAGCTTCATCACATCAGGGTGAAAGCAATAGGAGTGGTGGAGCACGTGACTGCGTCAGTAGGACAGTCTGTTAAGAAGCAACACCATAGGGATCAGTGTTATTGTTAACCTGGTGATAATTGCTACTCCAATCTGTGCTATTTTAAGATCAGTTAAGACAGAAGTATATCTAAGAGGATTAGTAATGGCCACAAAATGATCAAAAGCCATGGCCAACAGCACTGAGGATTCCATGACAGTGAAGAGTTGAATAAAGAACATCTGGGACAAGCAGGCATTAAAGCTGATTTCCCTCACATTGAACCAGAATATACCCAGCATAGTGACCAGAGTGGATATGGACAGGCCGAGGTCAGTGGTGGACAGCATGAGGAGGAAATAGTATATGGGTTTGTGGAGGCTGGGCTGAGTGATGATGGCAAAGAGGATCAGGTTGTTTCCTGAGAGGGCAGTTACATAGAGGAAGCAGAAGGAAATGGAGATCCAGGTGTGGAAGGCTTCCAGCCCAGGAACACCAGTGAGCAGGAAAATGATGGAAGTGGAAGTGATATTCTGCAAAGTTGACATATTGAATTCAAACGGCAGAATCTTCAGCTGTGTCTGGAAATGATAAACTGTATTTATTTATTATGCATTTAATTGGAAATTATTTCACCAAGTAAACATTTATAAAAGATGATGTCTACATTATATAGAAAACTCATAAAGATTGATTAATGACAACAACAAATGAAGTCCACATCAAACAAAGGAGCAGAAAACAGGAAATGAATGGTTCCCTGAGGATACAGAATTTGCACAAAAACAAAGAGAGCAGCATTCCTTCTTATTTAAGTTCACATGTCTGATGAGTGACTTCAAGTGGTAAGTAGTCAGCAAATATTTGTTGAAGTGTGTTCAAAGGGTTGTGTGATATTTTAGACAAATAGTAAACAATATATGCAGTGAGTCTGATACATAACTGAATTACACTAGCTTTTAGAGGCCCATCCAAAAAATCCTCTCTTTATCTCCTGCTATTTTCTTTCAATCAGAATCAAATCCAATACATCCAACAAATAGCCAACATTTGTTGATCCCCTGCTATCTGCAGTTGATAATATCCTGGATAAGCATACAGTCTATTTGAGATATCAAAACTTAAACTGTACCTAAGAAATTTTCATACCACATAACGAGTGTGAGTTAGATATAAAAACGTATACTTATGTATAAACCATAATTAGAGTATACGGGGCATCCAATATGAAAGTATTATGGATAGTCTGATGTTATGAATTTTTATCCTGCATCCCAAGTCGACGTTTCTTACAGCTGCGTGTTATAAATTTTAACTGGGTTAAATTACTCTGACATTTATCAGCTGGGTTACCACATGATGAGTTACTAAACTGTATGTGCCTCATTTTCTCCATCTCTAAAGTAACTATGGTGTGCATATCCACAGGACTGTTGTAAAGATTAAATTAATGTATGTGAAAATCTGAGCAGAGCATCTCACTATGGTAAAAACTTACCAAATGTTAGTTATTATCATTAAAGAGAAAAATTAAAGTTAAAAATGTATACACACATTGTTTTCCAACATCTATCCCCAATCCCCACCCTCACTTATCTACTTTTCTCTTTATCTGGTAGCTGAGAACAAAAAAAAAAATGGAAATATTCTAAGTCTAATTTAGGTAATATCCACTGGTTAATTCCTCTACAACTATGTTTTTCTCATCCTTTCTTCATCTTTCCAGGTTAAAAAGAAGTGCACTTACTGCTTTCCAGACAAGCCTCATTACCTAGTCTCAATCTATCTCGGATGTTAGTTTAGTTTAACATCAAACATTACTGAGTGCAAGCTGCAATCCAGACTGTCGACATACAAGCCAAGTGAAGTATTGCACCTGCCCTGAGGATCATTAGGAAATAATAGGATAGTTCAGAAAACAAATTTGTAAACAAATGATAAGACTGTATTTAAAATACAGAGGTATATATATTAGATAGTTGGAGGGGATGGAGTCAAACAGCTTCTCTGAGTAAGTAAAGAATTGTTGAGCAGAGGCTGATAAGTGAAAATCATCATGAAAGAAATTCTAAGCATATTCAAAGGCGATGGAGTTTCAGATATTTTAGAAATGCCACTAAAGTGTGAAATACAGTGTACCAAAAGGTAGTGTGTAAGAGGTAAGAGAAGGCCAGGTATGGTGGCTCATGCCTGTAATCCCAGCACTTTGGGAGGCCAAGGCAGGTGGATCACCTGAGGTCAAGAGTTCGAGAGCAGCCTGGCCAACATGGTGAAACCCCATCTCTACTAAAAATACAAAACATTAGCCAGGTGTGGTGGCGCATACCTGCAACCCCAGCTACTCAGGAGGCTGAGGCAGGAGAATCGCTTGAACCTGGGAGGCGGAGATTGCAGTGAGCTGAGATCGCGCCATTACACTCCAGACTGGGCGACAGAGCAAGACTCCCTCAAAAAAAAAAAAAAAAAAAAAAGCTCTTAAGAGAGCTCAAGTATGGAATTATCATCTTCACTTCAAAAGGGTAAGAGATTTGTGCTATTCATACAATCTATATAAACATGCAGATGAACAACATTCTTCGTTCTTCTTAGCCTGCATCCCTGCTATGTGTATCTCTTTTTCTACACCAACAACTCATAAAATGATTTGCCTATCCTCATTTCTGTACCTCATGGTTCATACCTATATTTGAAATCTGGTTTTGTTTTTGACCAAAGCATACTTTGTTGCATTAGTTGTCTATAACTACATAAGAAATTAGTAAAAATTCAGCGGCTTTAAACAAAACACATATATTACCTCACAGTTCTGTAAGTCAGATGTCTGAGCACAGCAAAACTAGATGCACTACTCAGGATCTCACAAGATTGAAATTAAAGTTCCATCCAGTACCATGTTCTTAATTGGAGAGGAGGGTCCTTAAAATCCTCACTCAGATTGCTGTAGGAATTTAGTTCCTTTTGGTATATGGTTGAGGTCTCCAATTTCTTGCTGGGCTTTTAGCTTCTAGAGGCTACTCTCAGTCCCAGTCATGTGTTCTTCTCACAATATGACATCTTAGGTCTTCAAATCCAGCAGGAGAACCTCCTTCGAGATTCTTGTCTCTTTTAAAGACTTCTATGATTAGGTAAGCCCTAGCAGGATAATCTTGCTTTTAATTAACTCAAAGTCAAGTAATCAGGGACCTTAGTTACATCTGTTAAACCCTTTTGCCATATAATGTAATGTAGTCATGGGAGTGATATCCCATCACATTCACAGGCCCTAGTCACACACCCAAGGCATGGGTACTGCTCAAAACAAGTACGCCAGGATGGACAAAAATCTTTAGGGCCCTTTTAGAATCCTACTAACCCCACCTGTCAAGACTATCCAGTCTCCAAATCTTTATAGGTTCAACTTCTGAAAAGTCTCTTGATTGACCATATTTATCTTCTAGTTTTATCAGTGACCTTTCTTCCTACCCTCAGAAATCTTTTTATATACTCTACCTGGGCTTTTCCTTACTTCACCAAACTACCAAATATAGCAAGTTCTTTCACACTAATGTGCTCGCTTAATTCATGTAGTTCTCTCTTTTTTGAATAAGACAAAAATTTTTAGATCCATTATTTGATCCACCGAACCATGTGTAAATTAAACATGAATTTATTTCAGGAAGCATTTGGTGGCATCACCTATTCTAAGTCAGAAGAACTAACTTCTTCCTCTGGAGTTATATTATTTTCTATTTATGCATCTAGAATAGTGTTTATTCCATTGTATGATCATGGGTTATTTGAAAATTGCCTCTCTAACAAAATTAAGTTACTGGAAGGTAGATCATTGTTTTTTCATCATTATATTCCCAATACCTTGAAATATATTTTGAGAAGTGTGGGCATACAATATATACATGTTGATGTAAATTCAATCCAAGAGTTGTTAACTAAGATTCTGAACATATCTCAGGACTTCAACACATTCAATTTTGTCTATTTAAAACATGCTGTGTTGCCTAAAATTATATATGTGGCTTCTGGAAGAATCGCACAGAGCTCTCCAGTGTTCTCACAAACTGAGTGATGTATGTGTGTGTGTGTGTGTGTGTGTGTGTGTGTGTGTGTGTGTGAGAGAGAGAGAGAGAGAGAGAGAGAGAGGAGAGAGAAAGAGGTTTGGGGTTTTACTGATGGAAGACTCTGTCCTAGTATTGGAGGGTTAACTTTTATGTGCCCTCCCATTTGTTGACAGTAATTCTCTTCGTACTATATCAAGATAACACTCCAGACCCATTGTAAGAATGTGTTGCAAGTTCTGTCCTGGGCTACCTTGACTTATCTCTTTTCTCTGATTACAGAGTAAGTGATATTGTTATACAGTCATACAAACCTAGGTTCAAATTTCGTCTCTGCCATCTAGAGCTAGCCAGAGTTTTCCAAATAAGCACTTTACATCAGATTCCACTAATGTGAAACTGGTAGTTCACCATTGGCACTACTTCATAAGGATTAAAAGGATTAAATGAGACAACATTGTAAAACATATAATATGTTAACCAGTGTGCAGGACGTGAAAGTCACTTGATATTGGTAAATGAACATGAGGATGAGGATAAGAATGGCAGTGGCAGTGTGTGATGGTGGTAGTGGCCGTTGACCTTAGGACTTTGAGTGGCAGTTATAAAATGTGACACAACTAACCAGGAGACTTAAAATTGCATGGACACATTAACAGCCTGCTCTAAGCAGCAAAACAAATGGCTCATAGACCAATCAAACCTCCTCAGTCAGAATAGAATGTTCCTAGAAAATACAGATATCAGAAAATAGATTTCCACAATTTTCCTTAGGCACCCACGAGAGCTTTCTGCAGTTAATAAAGTCTCCCTCATTCTTAAAAGAAACCAGGCATGTAAAGTCTAATGTTTTTCTTGAATGCAGCAGTTTTACTTACAAAGTATAAGGATATGTTCTTTCCCACACTGTTCTCCATAAAGGGGCCTGAGGAGCTGGGGATGTGTTCTACCCGGAAACAGGTAGCATATATAAGAAGCCATATCTCAGGATGCCTGAAAGCTCTTAATAAGCTCCTGGTGAAGATTTCTGCATCCCCCCGAGTCTGAAGCTTCCCAAGGGTTCATTCTACTTCATGGCTTCCTTCTCCTTCTACTTCATGTACTTTTATAGTTTCCATGAAGGGACTGCTGTTACAGGTCTTTGATCTTATGTATTTGTAAAATTTTCTTAAAAGTAAATTTGTGAGTAACCACACCCTCCAAAAAATCCCCACAAGATCGCCCCTCATCTTCACACCACTCCCACACCCAACTGATAAACTTATCTTCCTCCTATATTATTTAGGTGAATTTTGTATATTTTTAGAAGCCCCTCTGCTTGTGCTTCACTCCATCCCCCCAAAAAATCTTCATTTATTCTTTCATGGAACATTTGAAGTATCTTTCATATTCTAGGACTTCATACTGGTAATACAGAGAATAAAACAGAGTCTTTTCCCTCCAGAGCTCCTTGGAGGGAACCCCTTGTGGAAACAGACGTAAAACTCGGTGATTAC